CCTACGTCCAGTTCGTTGCTGCTGCTCGTATTACTAGCACTGAAAGTTTGTAGTAGAGGTTACAAACGGTCGAGAGAGGGACAGGTCCCAAGTCTCTAGTGAGAGGAGCGAATGGGTGCCGAGAGCTCAGTCGCTTCCTGACTGTGTGCTCGTGTGTTCTGATCGGTTCCGGGTTCGATCGGTTCAAGTCTGAATCGGTGTGATATGTTGCGATGCCCCTTATGGGACGCCCTGCTTTCCCTTTTATAGGCCAAAAGAAAGCGCGGGGTACAGTTGAGGAAAAAGAGGAGAATGAGAAGGAGAAGAAGTCCTCCAGGATCACCGGATCCTTCTTTTCCTTCACGCGGGTCCCACCGACCCTGTAGACGTCAACAGGGACAGCTCCACGTCGCGGCCCTGTCCGTCACTGACGCCATGCGCAGGCGTCGTCTCCCAGTCGTGGCGCTCCACTCCGTCCTGGCGGACGTCGTGGTGAACTGACGCGCCTGTTAGTGCCCGTACGATGGTTAGGCAGAACAGCACCGGTACGCCCGACGCTGTTCCTGATATGAATCCCCAGGTATGGCCTGTCACGGCCACGGGTTATATCGGGGCGTGCCGGTCACCTTCCTGGTGTCAGAGCTTTGACCCAGGCCCACTCGCTTGGACCTAAAGTGATTCGCGGCATTATGGGTCTCCGTCGGGCGAGACGGATCCCCGGCCTTGGAGTCGGTCGAGGTGGAGTCCCCCCAGAGGCCGGGCGAGGCGGAGCGTAAACCCAAGGGTCGGGCGAGGTGGAGCCCGCCCTCAAAGGCCGGGCGAGGCGGAGCCAGCCCTCAGAGGTCGGACGAGGTGGAGCCCGCAGCCTCGGTGTCGGGCGAGACGGAGCCTGCCCTCAGAGGCCTTGGTTAAAAAATTCTACAACAACACTTAACAAACCGGTTAGACAATTATGAGGCGAAGCAAGTGTTGCGCTAGCCTACTAAAATGCAAGCCATCTATCACAATTCTAATTTATATAGTTTCTATCCACACAATAGTTATGCCACTACACTAAGTTAGTGTGCTCTTAAAGGCTAACTAAAGAGTCACACTAACCAAACTAACAAGCTCTCACAACTAGCTATACTAAAGAGCTTGACAACTAGTTTTGGGTAATATAAAGAGAGTGAGCAATATATTTATACCGCCGTGTAGAGGAAGGAGTCAATCAATCACAAGAATGAATACCAATGAAGACCAATCACCTCGGAATCAAATGACAAACACAATAATTTTTTACCGAGGTTCACTTACTTACCGGCAAGCTAGTCCTTGTTGTGGCGATTCACTCACTTGGAGGTTCACGCGCTAATTGGCATCACACGCCAAACCCTCAATAGGATGCCTTACAACCAACACAAGATGAGGATCACACAAGCCACGAGCAATTTACTAGAGTACATTTTGGCTCTCCACCGGGGAAAGGTCAAGAACCCCTCACAATCACCATGATCGGACCCCGAGACAATCACCACCCTCCGCTCGACGATCCTCGCTGCTCCAAGCCGTCTAGGTGGTGGCAACCACCCAGAGTAACAAGCAAATCCCGCAGCAAAACACGAATACCATGTACCTCTAGATGCAAACACTCAAGCAAAGCACTTGGATTCTCTCCCAATCTCACAAGGATGTTGAATCAATGATAGAGATGAGTGGGAGGGCTTTGGCTAAGCTCACAAGTTTGCTATGTCAATGCAAATGGCCAAGAGAGTGAGCTTGAGCCGGCTATGGGGCTTAAATAGAAGCCCCCACGAAATAGAGCCGTTGTACCCCTTCACTGGGCACAACGCGGGGTGACCGGATGCTCCGGTCGGATCGACCGGACACTGGCCCTCAGCGTTCGGTCACGTGATTCACGCCACGTGTCCCCCTTCAAATCTTCGTTCGCCGATTTCAACGGTTTCAGCGATCGAATCGACGATCGACCGGCGGACTGCCTCGCGTTTCAGAAGGTTCTAGAAACGAGATTGACCGGACTCTGAGCTTCCGGCACACATGCAATCGGTCCGGTCGTTTCAGAAGGTTCGAAAACGATATTTCACGGCCGGAAGCGTCCGATCTCGCTTGACCGGACGCACGGTCCCTCTAAGATCAAAGATCCGGTCACACTATGACTTCTTCTTCTTCACCCTTGCTCAAATGCCCAACAACCACGAACACCTTGTGCACATGTGACACGGGACCCTCGGCAATGAGTCGAGCATCTAGTCAAAGACGCAGCGTCCGGTCGAGACCGACATCTTTGACGTCTTCATCGCTCACACTTTACCTTTGCCTTGAGCCTTTTGTTTTTCTCTTTCTTCTTTTCAACTCCAAGCACTTGATCCCTCAATGGTGAAAGGACCTAGACCGCCTAGAGGGGGTGAATCCGGTCACCTTGTGACCATTACTAAAGAGAGTTTTCAAAATGGAAACTCCAAATAAAGACTAACACTTTTCACTTATATCTTCTTCACCCTTGCTCAAATGTGCCAACCACCAAGTGTATCACCTTGTGCACATGTGTTAGCATATTTTCACAAACATTTTCAAGGGTGTTAGCACTCCACTAGATCCTAAATGCGTGTGCAATGAGTTAGAGCATCTAGTGGTACTTTGATAACCGCATTCCGATATGAGTTTCACCCCTCTTAATAGTACGGCTATCAATCCTAAATGTGATCACACTTTCTAAGTGTCTTGATCACCAAAACAAAATAGCTCCTATAATTTATACCTTTGCCTTGAGCATTTTGTTTTTCTCTTTCTTCTTTTCAACTCCAAGCACTTGATCATCACAATGGTATCACCATCTTCATGTCATGATCTTCATTTGCTTCATCACTTGGAATGTGCTACCTATCTCATGATCACTTGATAAACTAGGTTAGCACTTAGGGTTTCATTAATTCACCAAAACCAAACTAGAGCTTTCAACGGTGCCACCTCCCATAGCCCGAGGTCGCTGGAGGAGCTCCTCCTTCCCGAACCCTCAAGGCTTTGGAAAACTAGTCGTTGCCTCGCCCATACCGAGACACGTCCCTGCCAGATTTGAACCCTCTCTGAGGAGTCGAAACTCAGATCCACGAACTAACACCGGAACAACATTTTTGGACGATGGAAGACACGCGATGAAAGGGAGGAAGAAGGAGAAACACTCAAATCTCACATGTGACACTTATGAAACATTATCTATCAACATGCATTCTTAATAGGTCCAAAACTCGATCAAAGGAAAATGGATTTGGAGGGACCGCGAGAACCCGCTTCTGAAGGCATATTCCCTCCTGGGTCCAACCCAAACCCACATAGATCCTTAACCAAACAGCATGCCATCTGGGTCAGACCCGGAATATTCCAGTTCAACTCACAAACCAAACACACAGTTATATTATCTAAGAATCCAAACATGACATCAATTACTTTTGAGACTTTTCCACATGTAAATGCCATTATAAAAGATCGCATGAATCCATTTGCATTGTGTCTTGTGCTTAAAAAATTGTTCATACAACAACACATCATCAAGTACTCATGAGATAACTACTCTAACTTTTCACGCTTTCATTTCCTCCATGCCTACTTCACTTTCAAATGTTTGGGCTCTAACATGCCATTTAAATTTAGTTGGAATGCAGATGTGAAAAATTAGAAAATGCCCTTAAGTTCAAATATGTTATTAATTTTTTGAGCATCTTAATGACTTCAAAAGGGAGGAAAAAACTCAAAACTTTGGAGGGACCATGAGAACCACGAAAGTTATAGATCTCGTCGAGATCTATAATTTTATATAAAAATTATTTTCATTTAATTTAAAAAAATATGATTTGATATGATTAATATATCTTAGAAAAATTATATTTTTTTAATTTTTATTAAATAAATTAAATGATAATTTTTATATAAAAATTATAGATCTCGATTTAGATCTACAACTTTCTAGTTTTGAGTTTTCATTTGAAGTTGTTAAGATGCTCAAAAAATTAATAACATATTTGAACTTACTTTTAGCATTTTCGTTTTTCACACTCAGCATGTCAGCTTGACTAAGTAGTAGAGCCTAAACCCATTTAAAGTGGCATGGAGGATACGAAAAAGTTGAAGTAGTGGTGCTGAAGACCGCTGAATTTTTCTAGAGACACACAGAGAATTGCGATCTTTTATAATGGTACACGAAGAAAAGTCTCATTACTTTTTAGCTGTCAATTAATTGTTAGTTGTATAGACTCAAACATGTCGTTAGATTGTTTTTATTGTGTATATATATATATACTCTCTTCGTTCAAGGGAATGCAGCTATAGTACAATGTCATGTTTTACTATCTTATAAGTTTAGCCAATTAGAGATAAAGAAGTATCAATATTTATGATATCAAATAAATTTCAGTAGATTAATTAAGAAATGTATTTTCATAGTAAATTGATTTAGAGCTATAGATGTGAATATCATTCGCTAAAAGTTTGGTTAAACGTGAACCACAAGTAACCCATGGTTGCATTCTTTTCAGAACAAATGAGTATGTTAGGCCAGTCTTAGCAAGATTTCATGTCCCATTTTCAAAGACACCATGAGTTAGAAACAGCGTAGATGAGTTCATCTACATGAAACTTATTTTATCCACGAAACTTTAATCATCTTTCTTCTTATCTATTCTATTTATTAAATACCATCAAACTCTCAAAGAAACGTCAGACTGACCGAGGTGCTCTGTGGTTGGCAATAGGAAACTGTTTGTCCTTGTTCGGGAGTCAGGAGTACGAGCCGACACAGCCCCACACCGTGGTCCGTCGATTTTTGATCCCACGGCTGGGACTTAAGACTGGGAGACTGACCTGTAGGGTTCTAAGGCGTCGTTGGGCGGTGTTTTAAGCCGCATCGCATTGGGTGTTCTCCTCCCGCCGCCACTTCCGCCCCACGCGCCCAATCCCCTCCTCCCTTCACCATCTCCGGCGGCCGCGGCGGCATCAGCAGCTCTCACGCGCAGCGAAGGAACGACAAGATGGCGACCATCGTAAACACGACGGAGGAGGAGCCGATGCTGGCCGTGGTCCGCTTCACCGCCGAGCTGGCCTGGGCCGACGCGGGCCCGGAGGTCGCGGACCCCGAGGTTACCCGCCTCTGCCTCGAGGCGCAGGAGCACATCCTCGCGGGGCGCTGGCTCGACATGGCCTCTCTCATGCTCGCCTCCGCCGACCTGCTCCTCACCTCCCCGTCGCGCGTCGCGGACAAAGGTACCTTCCTTCTCTCTCCCAATTCAGAGATTTTATGTGCTTCAGACTTTAACTCTGCTTATGTAGATCTGGAGTGTGTTCTCTCCGTCATCTGCAGCCTCGTCACCAAGGCCGGATCCGAGGATCAGGCGCTGCAGATCACCGACCTCATCTGCGCCAAGCTCACCCAGCAGCCCGGCGACAAGCCAGCGTTGCGCCTCAAAGTGTAAGCAACAACCGTAGCAGAGAATTCGATTGTTTGTTTGTGGCATCCAAGGGTTTGCTTACAGACCTGTTCGTCTGTATCTGTGTAGTCTTTTCAGCTTGTACAATCTTCTCCCAAGCCCCTACGGCAAGGCATTTGTTTACAAGAAGGCTCTTGAGCTCGCCACGGCTGGAAAGGCTGCCGAGTACATCATCCCATCTTTCAAAAACATCGACATCTTCGTCAGTGAGTGGGGAATTGGCAATTTAGAGCAGAGGGAACTCTACCTTTCTGTCACCAGCATCCTCAAAGACCACAAGGGGTAAGGCATGCTTTTCTCTCTACGGCTTGTCACCACAGTTCCTGTCTACTAGCCAGTGCCCCTGCGCGTTGCGCGGGCATGAGGAAGAGAAGAATAGTATATCATTACATTCCTATGTACCATAGTTGTCAATTAGGATACAAAAAAATATAAAATCTTGAAGTTACATGGCCGTTGTAAGCATATATGGAGAAAAGGATGGAAATTGAACAATTTACAAATTCCAGTGTTTCGTACTTGCACAAAAAATCTAAGTGAAGCAATTTCTCTTGGACACCATGTGCTTTGCCATGTACCATGTGCTACTACCGGATGATGCTATTACCGGTTTTTGCTTTCCCTTGACAATGTATCTTGCTAGTAGTAGGGTCTTACTACCCTCTTCTTACCTCTCCATTGCGGAAGCCCTTAAGCAAAAGGTAAAGATCAGCACACACATTGGCAAAAGATAGTTAAGACATTTGTTTGTATATATACATATGGGGCTAACATCATCAGGTAGCACGTTAGATTTATTTAAATACTTATATTCAGTACCTATCTTAGCTTTGGCAGAAAAACAATCATTCTATATTGAAATGCCTCATGAGGCAAATAACATGTGATGAATCCAGCAACCAAATATGGAAATAAATTCATGAAGATTGCACTAAAGTATGAAGCAACATAAAGGGCAAACAGAGTGTTCAATGTCGATTGAATAATTTGGCATAGAACACATGGGGTTGTTTGCCACAAAGAAGGCATTAATCCCATAGGGAATTTCTCTGAATGCTGATACAACAATTTGAATACAGTACGGTCAATGTTTTCTGTACAGGGTTAAGTTTAGTGAATGAGCCAATACAAATTAAAAGGATTAGTCCTGTCATTATTTTGTCGGGCTAGCCTGTATGTACATGTAGATGAATTCAAAAATTAAACGCTTCAGCAGGTATTTGAAAACATAATAGAGCAAAGGGATAGCATTTACTGTTATGTCCTGTGTGGGCGATGGCCTTTGACATGTTGACCTCTCGGGGTACCATCCCTGTGAAAACATAATAGAGCAAAGGGATAGCATTTACCGCTATGCACTGTAGATGAACAGGGAACTGTGAGGGGGGACGGGATGGCACTATTCATAAGCTCGCCACGTTTAGAGAGCTTTATAGATTGCTGCCTATCTGGTGTGGTTTTGCACTGATACAAGTAAATCATTTTCTCTTATGATTGACAGCATGGCTAAGGAGTACTTCAACTTTCTCAACAAGTACCTTGCCACATTCAAAGGGTCAGATGATGAATCAGCTACAATTGCTGATGCAAAGGAAGAGGCTGTTGCGGCGATCGTCGAGTATGTTAAATCGTCTAATCTCTTTCAGGTGCTTGTTTACTCCAGTCCGTGCATCTGTAATATTGATTCTATGAGAAAAAAATCATGATATATAATCCTCAGAAGGATAATTTTTCCCTTAACTGTTCATTAGTGCCTTCTTGCAATATAGGATGCTATTCTTACATCATTTATCCAAATGTGTTTTCTGTTATATGTTGTTATTAATGCTAGCATTAGTTTCACGGACAAAAGATGCTCTAATGACATCAGTTTACATGTAACCAGTGTTGGTGCTCTCAGTATCTTCTCGACCCTGAGCTTGTGTGATTATAAGTTGGCAGAGTTGACATGGGGGTGTCCTTCCAAGTTCCAAATATTTTTTTTCCTTTTTTATTGTCTTGCTTAGATAGATGATCATGTACGTTTCCAACTCAACCAACTACTCTTCCATAATATCACTTAATCTCTTGTAATGCGGCAAGGTACTTGTTGAGAAATCCATGAATGTGGTCTAGGCACATCGTAAAATCCTTTATTAGCTTTTTAGTTTGTACTTCCAATCAGCATGCTTGACTGATGGAACTTCTTTGTAATTGCAGTGTGATTTGCTCAACATGCCAGCTGTTTCACAGCTTGAGAAGGACGAAAAGTATCAGTTGGTTTATGAGCTTCTAAAGATATTCCTTACTAAGAGACTTGATTCCTACTTAGAGTTTCAGAGTGCAAACTCTGCCTTGCTGAAAGATTATGGTATCTTCTCTACCAGACCAGTACCTATGTTTTTTTTCTCCTTGTGAACTCAAATATCTCTTACATCTTGGCTTCATTTCTTTGACTTTTGATGAACAATCGACAGGACTCGTCCATGAGGAGTGCGTAACCAAGATGCGCCTCATGTCTTTGCTTGATCTGAGCAGCCGTTGCTCTGGCGAAATCCCTTATTCTGCAATCACTGTTGAACTTAAGGTAAATTGTCCATTTTACTTGCTGTTCATTCAATCAAATAGCTTTTATTAACCTTGCTGGAATTTTTATTGACTTCTGTAATGCTTCATTAGATCAATGATGACGAGGTGGAGCAATGGATTGTAAAGGCAATTGCATCCAAGATATTGGATTGCAAGGTTGACCAGCTTAACCAGACTGTCATCGTCAGGTATTCACGTCGTTAAGACTTTGCAGACTATCTTCATCTTTTGGCAGTGGATCAAGGTTTCTTTGTTCATTCATATGATGCTATGTTGTTATTTTGGTTAATTTATGGTGTGCCATGTAAATTTTAGTCGGCATACGGAGAGGATCTTTGGGATGGCACAGTGGCATGGTCTGCGCACAAAGCTTGGAGTTTGGAGGGTAACCTCTTGATTCATATCAAGTTTTCTACTTGATTTAAGCGCGTTATGTAGAGAGCCTACTATGGTGCTTTGGCCTGTTAATGTTTACTGTGCTTCTGATTGAGATTTGTTGGAAAACTATGATCCAGGGAAACATTGCCAGTGCTATCAACACAATACAAGCTAACAAAGTCACTGAAGAGGGGACACAAGGGATGCAAGGCTTGATGATCCGCTGATTCGAGGCGGGTCTGTGAATTGAGATTATAGTGTGAGATTAGAAGAGCAATCTTTTTGTATGAGACAAATTGTAATGATTTACTTAGATCCTGTGACCATGCTGGATAGATCCGAAGCATGCTAAGCAATATCGTTGTTCCTTGTATTTGGTCAGGCAGCCGTGCAGTGCAAGGCAGTTGTTACACATAGCAAGTTTTTCCACATCATGCAGTCTGTCCTGATAAACTTCCTTCACTGGTATTTTTGGTACTTTGCAAATTTTGATCATTCATATGTGTGATCAGAGCATCTTGTGATATCCTTATTATTTTATTTCCTCAGATGGTTGGACTTGTGCACGAACAGTATTGTTCTACCTTCTGCTGGCAAAATTTACATCATTACTATCCCCCCAGAAGAAAATTTCTGCACTTCACCATGAAAATAAAGTCCATATTGAATTTTATAACGTAATATGCAGAAGTGTTTTTTGTTGTTGTAAATACACGTTTTGGTTGATGAACTAAAACGTGAATGCAAAATGCATTTCTGTTCATCCGAAATACTACACCTAATTATCACCTAGGATAATTGCTTCACAGATCATACAAGAATTTAGCACTTTTTATAGAACCCCACGAGTTGAGCAACAAATTTAGCACTTGAAGAGAGTGGCCAATGCTTTTACTGAAACTAATGAAATAAGATGTAACTATGCTGGAGATTTAAAACTTTTTTATATATCGCCTTTTGGTTTGTGACTCAATGAATAATGTGTAAGGAATTGGAAAGTACAAAGGTCATCTATCGCACATTTATAATTGCTGTTGAGTAAATTTGTTGAAGAAAACGGAACAAAATTTTCTTCATCAGTGAACCGAGCAAACTTCCAGTCGGCCTCGCAAATACGTTAGGTACGTACATTTTTGTCAATCAAAACTTCAGAGACTTGGCCAGGCTTGTTACTATCGACATATCAGTCTGTTGTGTTTATAACGTCTCAAAAATTGGCCAGGCTTGTTACTATTGCGCTAGCCTTTAGGTAGGCAGCCACACCCTTTGAGTTCCATGATGTAGAGAATGGCATGCAATCAGAGTCTGATAGTCTCTCCTGTACCTGAACCTTTTTCAGATTAGTAATTGGAAATCAATCCATCCTCGGCCTGCTGACAAATCAATACAAATGCAATTATATACAAGCAGAAGATAGACACACACACACAAACCCAACGCAACAGCGACGAAACACTGAAACGCTGAAACTTTTGACCGCATGCGCAGTTTAGTTCCTTTAGCTCATTTAGCTGCATGACTTATTTACTCCAGCTTTATGTACTACAGTAGCAGTATCAGTTTGCGGACAGCATTTGCTTGTGGAAGCAGGAGGAAGCATCAGTTGGGTAGGCAGCAGCCCATCCGAGTTTTAGGCACGACGAGATAGATAGGACTTGAGTTGGCAGAAGCAATCGCTGCTGATCAGACTGTTACAAAAAGCTGGTGTGGTTGTTGGAGTCTGCTAAGCTTCCACCTTGTCCTGGTTCATGAATTATTAACGTTATCTCCATCCATCTCTACATGCATGAGCAGAGCAGATATGTCATATGCAATGCAGCCGTGTAGGCCATCTTCTAGTCGAGCAGCAACACTGCAGCAGCAGCCATATGCACGCTATTCAGAGCATTGAAAACATGCCTGAATATCAGGTGCATGCACTGGGATATACGTATATATGTGTAGTAACTTTTTAAAACTTTGCGCGGCTAGATATGTAGATAGATGAGTCAAAACTCTGATTATTGCAGTTGCTCCACTTGGGCAGATATTTGTCCCAAGTGCTAACTCCATTGGTATCGTCATCATCCATACATGCATGGATGAGTTTAACTGAAGAAATGGACTTAGGTAGTGGAGTGTGGGATGAGCAAAAGGTTGTAAGAGAGACCGGCTAGCTAACCTTTTTTCGCAGCATAAATATGATTGATTGATCTCTTTCTTGGCAATTACTTCTCTGCTTAGCATAAACTAAATTAATTGTTAGATTACCTATCTAAATCCTATTTCCCTCGAGGTCGTTTCAGCCTTTCAGGGAGTTAACTATGAGAAACGTGTTCTAAAAGCGTGTGAAGTAGGAAAAAAGCAGCATGATGTTGGTTTTGTTTTTTCAGCTGTTCTGGACAGATTATTGCCTCTCTAAATCCCATTTCCCTCGAGGCCATTTGAGGCAGTTAACTATGAAAAGTCGTTGTAAAGGCATGGAAAGTAGGAATCCGGCATGATGTTGGGTTTTCAACTGTTCTGAACAGACACTGAGGCCTATTCGTTGGTTGGTCTTTAACTGTTCTGAACAGACACTAGTTGGTAGTACCACCAACAAACCAACAATAATAATGTCAGTACCAAACAATAATAATGTCACAAACGCAGGTGCATACCAAATAACAAATACTTTTATGATAAGAAACTGGCAGCGTCAGCTAAGCACAATCCTAGCGAGCAGCAGCCACTGACCAATGATTAACCAGCTAATTTAATGGATAGATTTTGATTAGCGATCTTTCATCCAGACGCGCCATTACAGGGAAAGCGTATATCGACATGAAGCACTGACCCTTGCCATTTCACCAACCATCTTTTGGTATTTGCCTCATGTGTTCAATATAAACTAGTGAAATATTGGCTTCTCTGACTCTTGTAGCCTTGTCGGCTGTATTCGCATCTGGTTGCGTTGATATCATAGCCATCATCATCATCATCACAAAAAAGGGCCGTTTCCTTCTGTGAAACTCTGTCAGTTGTCATGGTGCACAGTTGAAAGAAGTTTATTTTTGCCCACCGATGAGTTTTATTTTAGCTACTAAACTAAAGAAAATAGATACCTTTGAATATATACCAAATTATAAAAGTCGAACAAATATGGTCCTCTAGCTGGTTTTAAATATGATTTTGTCTATATACGTGTTTTCTAAAAAAATAAATATATGACTTAATTTCCCCCAAAAAAATCATAACCAATTAATTCTAAATTAGAAAAACTTGAAATCATAACCATAGTTTTTTTCTAAAAAAATCTTACGCTGGTGCTCTATTTACAATTATTTGGGTCTTATTGTTACTATTGCTAGTGTTTTATTGTTAAGAGTTATGATCGGTATGTATTTAAATTATTATTATTTTTATTACTTGAAGTTGATGATGATAGGACAATTAATTGACTGCATGATGTTTGAGTCCCTGCCTTGTTTGAAACTTATTACCTATTCAATCATTTATTTAAGATAAAGTAAAAAGGTAGCCATGCAATGCTTAAATAGAATCTTTGCACGTAGTGAAGCATGGCATTCGTGAGGTCTGTGTTCAAGATCTTCCATGTACCTGGAGTAATGGTGTATGTTGGATCCTTTTAGTCGATCTCTTGGTCTGATATAGCACAAAACAATACTTTATAGAAATAACAGTCATCTCTACCAGTAAAATAAAATATTAGCAATAGGAACAAATAAGATCCGAATAACTGGAAAAAAGATCACCAATATATAGACTGTATTTTTTAGGAAAAAGTTCGGTAATGGTTTCACAATTTTTTGTTTTAAAATAAGTTAGTTATAATTCTTTAGAGATTATAAACCAGATTTTACTTTTATCTAGAAAATAAAGTATATGGAAAATTACCTTTGAAACCAGCCAAAGTATGATGATTTTGCTGGGTTTTTATAGTTTGATGGCAAAACATTATGTAGCTTTTTAGTTCAATAGTCAAAATCAGACTTTTCCAATAGTTCAATGGCCATAGATAGACCTTTTTCGCGAGAGGGTTCTTTGTTAATTTAATTTATTTATTTATGTTTATTAGACGCGCAATCATCATACTGTAGTTGACGACATGCGTCGCACGCGACTATACCCTACGCTAAACGACGATCCGAGCTGGAGTGGAAAAGACGTGTGGTTGTCTTCTGAGTTCTGACTTCTGACGAAACAAGCGAGAAGCGCACCTGCCCTGCGCTGCGCAGGCCAAAAAAAAAACACGCATTACTTTGGATTTCTTTTCTCCCTTCACTCCTCCCACACATTCCGCATGCCTGCTGCTTGCGACTTGCAAGACTTGTTTTCAAATTATAAGCTACCACTAGCATTCGTGATGATTATCCTATAGTTAGTTATCTAGAAAAAAGATTAGAGATTAGAGCGAGCAAGCACTACGCTTGTACTATATCCACCCCACCCCACAAAGTGGTTGAAAAAGTTACGGCCCCACACACAAACGCTTGCGATAAAAAAAAAGACACAAAAAGTGTAAAGCGTCGTGGTTAGTTATTCACGATAAGCAAAGCGAGGCAGCGAACTCGGCGTATCTACGTTTTTTAGGTTCTCGTGGTCAAATGTGCTCACTCGGTCTGAAATCCTACGCTTAAGGCAGATGTTTCCATAGTCCTTAATTTCTAAAATTTATTGACATTGTTGTTTTAGTAATGAACTACATGACCATAACAAGATACTTGTGATGATTTCATTAATTTTAAGATCCGCTACCCCAATCTTCTAGAGATATTTATAGTGGTAGAGTTATTTTTTTCAATAGTGAGCGATATATAGGCTCGTCAAAACAATGTGGCTGTCTTTAATCTCTAGATCTGTCGGTTTATTACTTTTTTTAAAAAAAAGAATACCCATAGGAATAAGATGTGTTAATATGGACGAGAGTATACACATGCTCGTCTATATCGGTTGTGTCACTGAAAAGAAATCAAAGCGAGGCGGCGTCCGTCAGTCCACGCGAACTCCCGTGCCTGCATAGGAACAGCGTGCCTCGGATGCGAGCCGCGAGCCTACCGTGCACGCATCCCCATGTCGTCGCCGTGCTCTCTTCTTTTTTCGCTGCCTGCTAGCGAGTCGCGACGCCCTCGATCACGCGGACGTAATGCTTACCGTGTTAATTAAACCAATCGACCCGTACGGCACTGCCCGTCTCTATCTCGCTAATTAACCCGCCGGTCCTCTCCGTGATGGCGATGATGATTAT